GTTGTTTGATGTCATAGTTAGGTTGCGGTATTTAAAAGTAAAATTCATTTTCGCTTATCAACTGATATCCTATTTTACCTTGACGTTGGGACATTTTTCTTTCATATAACGCGAAACCCCTGTCAATGTGCCACCAGTCCCTGCCCCAATAACTACCATATCTAATGCACCATTCAGTGAGTATAAAATTTCAGCTGCAGTTCCTTCATAATGGGATATCGGATTACCAGAGTTGAGATACTACAAATATTTACTGTTAGTGTACTCGAGATTTTAAGGGTAAAAAAAAAGATGGAAATGTTTTGCTGATGTATTTACCTGATCCAAAACTAACGAATTTGGAGTTGCTTTATTTATCTGAAATGCTTTGCTAATATGATATTCCGGGCTGTCATAGGTAGCATCGTTTGGGGTTTTTTCGATTTTACCGCCTAGAGCAAGCAAGGTTGTAATCTAAAAATAATTCCCTTCTATAACTAAAATCACTGTATCAGTGGCAACAAATGTTATCTGCTGAAACTGAAAGGGCCATGAAACTGGTGTGGTGCAACAGTTACCTTTTCGCCTTTATTCTTCTCCGGCATTACAATTGTACAGTCGTAACCTTTAACGGCTCCAACTAATGCCAAGCCAATTCCGGTGTTACCAGATGTTGGCTCAACAAGACTCATGCCAGGTTTCAGAAGACCCGTCTTTTCAGCAATATCAACCATTCGTTCAGCAGCACGATCTTTAACCGAACCTCCAGGGTTCAAGTACTCCAGTTTTGCATCTAAATACCCGTAGGAAATTATTAACTAACGTCTTCCAGCAATAAAGAAAACAAGTCATTTTTTGGTAGAAGGTGAAAGTCAAATGACTTTTGGCTTTATTTGGAAATAGCTAATTTTATAGTTTAATTGTTAAAAATTAAAATTTAAAATTGTTAAGGGAGAAAATTCATGTCAAAGTAGTCTTCTTTCTCTGTATAAAAAACATGGATATCCACATTATTTGTTTTATTTTCTAAGTCATAGACGGGACGGCGGGTAACTTACAAACATCACATTTTATACCAAGGGACTGAGGAATTTTATTTAGTTTTACTAATGGTGTTCCACCGATTGCTTCCAATATTGAATTTAGAGCTTTGCCATTTCGTGGCCTGCAAGTATCATCCTGGTCACCTATTTTAACATTTACGGGCAACCAGTTAGTTAAAGGCTTTGAGCAAAAATTTTTCACATGTAGCATTAGAATTCTAAATACAAATAAAATGGTAAATAAGAACAAGTTACTGGGATTGCAAAGAAATTATAATTAAAGAAGCGACAATGGAACCTGAAATGTCGGAAGGAATATGGGGAGTCAGGAACACTGCCACGTTGATGCCAGGAAACCCCTTGACGGGCTGCCTCTGAATAGGGTGTGACATTGTTGGCAATAAGCGGATCAGCTGCTCTCATAGCCGTTTCCATCGACCTATGTGCTAGTAACGAGTTGGATATCGGGTAAAATAGCAGATGTTAATTTTCAAGTTCTAAGTTTCACCAGTTACAGGAAATGAAGATGAGAATTGACTGAAAGAACTTTATTTATTTATTTATTTATTTATTTATTTTTTTTTTTTTTAAGGTAATAAGTCTGAATTACATATTATTGGAGAAGGTCAGCAAAAAAATTTTTGATAGAATAATTGTAAGCATAACTTTTAATCACTGTTTCAATTTCGTTGGCAGTTTAATGACAAGAATTTTATTTGTTATAATAATAATTATCGCAGAATAGTATAATCATAATGTTTATATACAAATCATTGGTTTAGAATAATCAACTTAATGAATTATCTTTATTGTCATGTCTTTTGCACAAATTTTAACAATAGCAACAGTAGCAAATGAGAAAAAAAAACCAGTCTTTCACCCTATTTAGTTAGTTTTAGAGGGTCAATGACAACAACGATTATTGGAAACTTATGATAACAATGTGAATTGCTGCTGTTGCCACCAAATACTTCTCGATCAATTAACTGGGAAAATAAATTGCTACTGTATAGGAAGTTGCATAAAATGGGGACAAACACGGTTGGTGATGTGTATTACACACAATTTAATGTTAATACCAGTTTGGTGTCTAAATTTGGTGTTGTTTGTGTATTTTCTTCTTTTACTCCCACCTCTTCTCTCCTAACTTTTTAAAACAAAACAAACAAACAAACAAATAAACAAGAAAAAAATAACTGTCATATAGTCAACAAACTTTTTATAGATGTGTGATAAAAATGACTGTTATTTTAAATTATTTTATCATTATATACGCTCAGTTGTTTATACAGGTAAAGAGGTATAAAATTTGTTTCCTTTCCTTCTCTTTTTTCCTTTTGTCAAATTGGATGCGTTATCCGTCAGTCATCTTTTTGCTTAGTTCTAAAACTCTCAAAATTGCAGCAGGTGATATAAAATTGAATAAGAAAAAACGAAGAAAAAGAAAAATAGGAGGAAAATGAACAGTTTTTTTTATTATTCTCCCTTTCCTTTTCATCCCACTTAGTATTCAAATTTAAAAAAATTTGAAGTTAAAAAACTGTATTATCAGCTTTTACTACATTCTTGTTCAGTTCTTATTTTCTTTTGAAAACAATTAAAAACGAATAAAATAATGATGAAGTGATAAAATGATGAATAAAAGTGTAAGAGGAAAATAAAAACAAAAAGTGTACATATAAATAATATATAAAAATTTTTGTTATTTTATTAGCTACTAAAAAATCAATTAATTTCAGCTATCAATATGGCAGTATTTGTACCGAAGAGCAGTATTAAACCACAGTCAATAAATTTTACCTTTATATGTTGATGCACAGAAAATTTTACATAATTGTATTGATAAAGTCTGAATAAACTGAAATGAATAGAAATGCAAAAGAAACAAGTAAAAAAAAAAGTTTGCAGTTTGTTAAGCGTATCAAAAATCCGTTTCCAATATGGTAAGCCAATGCTAAATACACTCTTTTTTTTTTTTCTTCGTTTTTGTCCACGTTAACCACACAACATATTTAGTACCACATTTGTCATCCGTTCCCTCAAAAAATGGGAGCATCAAATCAGTTCACATCATTTTTTCGCTATTCGTTTTAGTAGCAGTAAGAGTAGAATCAACAAAAACTACCTGTATAGCCTCAGCTGAATTTAGAAGTGTAAAATCAATGAATTTATCAAATACAAAGATTAATATACCCCGATAGCAATAAAAAATGACAACAAAAATGCAAAAATTAGGATGACAGAAACGGAAATATCGTCTGGTCTCGCAAAGTAAACACATTTCCAAACACAACATTATCCCAAGTTTAGTTCTGTTTCGTTGCCATTGCCTTCGTTGACATTAACCGTTTGATGTAACAGATTTTCAAACAAAATTTTACTTCAGACTGATAATTCTAGGTTATACAAAACTGATTGAAAAAAAAATTAAACAATGAAAATTTTTAATGAAACGTTATCCGATCAACGGGTTTCTCTTCCGTCACTTTCGCAACGAGA